TGTTCAAGTTCTCATTTACAGGCTCCAGACTTTAGAAACTATATTACCATCACCGAATTGACCTTTTTCAACTCCTCAAACATCGTGGGTGTTCCTGCAAATGAGATCTCAACGCTTCATCCCAAGCTATAATTCTGTGCAGAGATAAATGATTTCATTACACATTTCTGTTGGATCTCTGCTCTAATTAGCTATTTTATTCATTCTATTGTGAAGGTGCCTTCTACACTTCAGTCTGTCACAGGTCACAATCAGAAATGATCTGTCGATGTGTACATTACTCACAGATAAGGCCGATAAAGACAGTAAACTACTTAATTCCACTTTAAAACATCAGCCTCTCCTCTCTGCCACTGTCTTTCACATCACCTCCACCTCCTCTCCCTCTCCGAACACTGTCTCATGTGTCCTGATTGTTCCAGTTTTCACTGAGTAAATTCATTTCTCATGCCCATTTATCACCTACCTCCACTTTCAGTTTTCTACTAAAACATAAAAATTGTCATTTAAAAAAAACATGCCACACCATCTCAAATTACAAGCAACAAATTGGCAACAGAGTATTAGGAACTAATTACAATTTAAATCCATTCATTTAAATACTTAAGAATAGGATCAATATCTTGTTGGATACGTCCTTTCTTCCATACTGATGTTTCTCTCATACTAATGGAATAATTATTTGTATGGGTTTAATGAAACTCTCCTATGACAGCATCCGAGTCCAATCACTTGATTCATATGTCATCGCACCATTCAGTGGCTATTATTAGTTGTTTTTGGTTTACATAGACATAATACGGCCATACTCCTCCTCCTGGTCAGCTCAGTACATGTGTGCCGCAGCAGCAGGCAGGCGGAGTGAAGCGCTACCACTACGGTGACGGCCAGACTTCAGAAAACCAATGGGTTCATCCATGTTTCATATGCATTCAGTGGTGCAAATATAAATTCCTCCAATGTAAAGCCAAATTTTTAAGTGAAACCTTTCCATTTTATGCTTCAAACCAAACCCAGTTTCAGCAGAACTTACATCATTTGAAGGAAGCGAAGAGGCTATTTTATGTTGTCTTTAGTTTAGCATAATTACAGCATTAAAAGAGTATTTTTGAATTCATTTATTAAAATATAAAGCCAACAATCAGCGGACCACAGATCACATCATTGATTCCAAGAACCAACACACTTCATCCAGCTGACTCTCTAATGCCACTGTAAGCAGGTGATGTTTTACTCAAATCCCAGAGGTGCTGTGGCAGCATCATATTATTTTCCACTAAGGCTACAGTGGGAAGAAAATTAGCTCCCTCTGTTTTCTCTGTGATGGATTTCTGCCTTTATGATTGCTGGATATCAGTGAAAACAGAAACAAAGAAACAACTCTTGCTGATTGACTGACTGACACTGAAACCTGACATTTACTGTTTCTAACAATCGCCCACTGAGTAAAGTTCTCCAAATCAAAAGGAGCAGAGATTAGCAGGGACAGCAGAGGTGACATTAATAACAAGACAGCCGGCAGTCACTGAGATGAAAGCTCTACCAGAGTCTGATTTAGGAGCTTTGTTGATCTGCTGATCCCTGGAAGAGACAGACATCACATCCACATATACATGGCAGTGGAAGTAGGTCGGAGGAGACGGGAAAACAGGATGAAAAATGAGAAGACAGGAAAGATGTTACTGGACGGGTTTAGCTTGTCACAGATATATCTGTACTTAGCAGAGACAAACACTGTCTTCACATAGTGGATCAGGAAATGACAAGTCTGGGTTGAGCAAAGAAGTAAACATGCAACCATTACTCTGCCTCATGACATTATTTTCATCGTAATTCATCACCACAAAATCATATTTACATTCTGAAAGAGGCAAAAATGACCCGACCCGACACCGCTGAAGGCCGGTGTGCCCTCGTGAGCTTGCTCATGTGTTTGACTTTTATTAATTTGTATATTAGATTCAATTATTATCCAAGAAACTGTGGACAGTAGGTTTGTTGTTTTTATACTTTATACTCCAGATTGTAAAACTGCCACATTTGCAATTTATTCTAGTGAAGTGTCAAAACATAGCGAAGAACATCCACCCCAGTGTTCCAGAGTCAGAAAAACTGCACTGAAATAACTTGCTTTACCTGACCAGCAGTGCACGAATGACAAATCCTCACATTTGGGACTTGAGGGTTGGCATTTTCCTTGTTAAATGCCTACAAGTAAACTGAATTCAAAAAAGGAAAATACATTAAAAAGGACAAGTGAAAAAAGATGAAAATTTGGATGAGATGTGAGCAGAGGACATGAACAAGAGGAGAAAAGACTAATCAATAAAGGACATTAGGAGAACGAGAGAGTTGCTAAAGAGAAAATAAATGAGAAAACATCAAAAACACAAGTGAAACCAGATAGAAACTATAGGACAAATGTCAAAATATAACAATGGATGGACACACAAACAGTTATGGGTGAGAAAATAGAAACAAGAAGATGCGCCAGGAAATAGAGACACTAAAGATAAGAGACACCAAGAAAAGACAAAAAAGAAACAGAGAGAAATGAGAGACATGAAGGGAAAAGGAGAACAGCAGCAGCAAGAGGTGAGGGGGAGACAGGAGAGGAGAACGGAGCAGAGACATTCAGGGCGACGATAAGAGAGGAAATAAAAAGTGCTGTTTCAGTCCCTGCGTGCTATCTGTGAGTCAGTGTTCTGCCTGAATGAATCGAGCAGCATGTGAAGCTGCTTCCTTCTGATACACTGCATAATTTGGCAACTGAAAATACTGTGTGCAGCTGTGCTGAAGACATCTGCAAAACCCAGCAGAACCTTTCTTTCCTTTTTTACATGTGCTTAAGAAACCAGGTTACATGTGGTTTATTGGACTCCTTAAACATGACGTAAACAAGCAAACCCGACCTCGGTACCAGGGAATGGGGATTAGAAAAACCTGGTTTCTCCAGGAAAAAAGCAGATTTATTATCCATGATTCCAATCAGCTTTTACACCAAGTCCTCAAACCTAAACACCTGTTTATTACAAATATTTCTAACACCTTTATGCATGTATTTAAAAGCTAGCATGTGGGCCAGTGACATCACATGTGCAGGCAGAACAAGTAACCACAGAAACCAAACAAATGGCAATCTGCAACATGCTGCGAGTGAAAGAGCAGCTCTTACTTTATGCAGGAACCGTGTTTTGGCTGAAAACTCCTAGAATGCAACAGCACAGACTTACAAAACTGTTTTGTTAAAAGTGTCTTTTCCCTCAGGTAAATTCAGTATAAAATGAAATGCTCTAATTATGTTCACAGTAACTGATGTTCATTTTCAGCCCAAACTGAGAAACCCCACCATTCATAAAAACACAAAATGGTGTAATACACTGAAAGCAAACGCACAGTTTATGCAGCTCCACTTGCTTTACACAGCCACTTTTGAAGCCTAAATTCAGTTGGTCCTTGACAGCCAGCAGATCCATTTCAAACTAGTTGTTTAGAAGTTTTAACAGTTTTACAGACACGCATTGCTTTTGCAACGAGCAGCAACAAGTGTAGTGAGGCAGCTCTCTGAGGCAGAACTTTTAAATGGCATGTGCTGTGGGGTGTGGACTGAAAAGAAATGGAGAAGCAGGGCGCAGCGGTGAGTCTCCCAGTGAAAGCCCTCTGACCCCCGCCTTGAATCTGATGATCCTCGACACACACACACACACACACACACACACCGGTCCCCAACTGACACCATCAGAGCTCCTCACAGCTCATCCTCTGCTCTTCTCTTCGCTGCATTTCCCAGGCACACAGGAAAGCCACGCATGACTTCGACTTGACTTCACACATTACAGGCAACGTATCACAAGAAGCTGAAGCAGTTTGAAATGGAAAAAAAATAAGAACTTGAAGATTTTCTGAACCGAAAGAGAAAAGTATTCTGCCTCGATAAATCACCGACTGCGAACACACAGACAACCATACAGAAGTCATCGTATGTCCTTTGAGTCAAATATGAAAAGATGTATTAATTATGATTTCTAAAAACAAAAGAAGAGGCTGTTCCAGAAACACCGCTCTGCAGCGAGGCTATAATTACACAACGCAGGAAGCAGATACTCATTAGCACCTCAGAAAATATAACAGCAGTATGAAAAACACCTCATCAATTGTTTATCTTCCTCCCGTCGGCCGTGAGCTCCCAAAACAAAACAGCATCAATAAATGTAGTGCGGCACCAGTATGACTGCAGACTGTGCTGCCATGGAGCTGAGAGACTGTTAGTGTGCATCAAGGAAAACAACTGATAGGGTCTGATGAAATGTGAGAGTGGGCCTCATTCTTTCAAATGATAAGTCCCTCTTAAACTGTGCCATTCACCTCTGAACAGCCAATAAAACTGTCTGTTCCGCCTCCTCCTCTCTCCATGTACTTTTAGTGCATTATTTAACATATAAGGAAATGGAAAAGTGCAAGGGAAATTATGCGTCCCGCTGTGGCTGTGAACCAGGCTTCATGATGAATATCTTGTTCTTGCCTCCACTCAAAGCCTGCTGATAATATTGCACTTGTCCTCTGATTTATAACAGAAGGGTTCAAAGCTGTACGTCAACTGCGGAGCTCAGACTGATCAGGCCACCTGTGCATGAACACCAGCCCACATCAGGGAGTGCAGAACTGTCCCGCTAACCTCGCTACAGTCACAGAATCAAAAACAAATCAGTAGGTTTAGATTAAAAAGACTGACAGTTTTTTATGAAAATGTTTTAGCAGCCGTGTGATGCTCACTAAACACCTGTATACATACAACACTGTTGGATAGTTTGCAGATCATTCACATTTTATTGTACAGTTTTACAGTCCATTTTAGTGTCCAGGAAAGTAAACCTCCATAAAACCACAAAACAGAAGCAGTGACAAGACGCCGCAGAGCACCAACACCAACTGCAGCTGCATTCATGTTCCTGTGTGAACCAGCACAGGTGTGTTTTCAAATCAGCGATGAGTGTGTGTACCTTTGTCGCTGAAGTCGTCCACCAGGATGAGTTCTGCGATGAGCTGCGGGGGAGAGCGGTTGAGCACACTGTGCACAGTCCTCAGCAGCGACGACCAGCCCTCGTTGTGGAATGGGATGATGATGCTGGTGTTGGGCAGCTTCTCTGCATACAGCTTGTGTTTACAGCTAGAAAAACACCAGAAACAAAGAAATGAGAGGGGGAAGCAGACAAGAGTGTGTCATCCCATCTAAATAACAGCCATATTGTTGGCGGAGCTTGAAGCGTGCCTCAGTGGAGGGGATGTTTGGTCCAACATTTTGGACCAAAGTGAAATACCAACAACAGGGAGTCATCTCAGTCTTGATGAAGGTCACTATAATTTACACAAAGGGACACATTGAGGCTCTTTATTGGTCTGGTTTTGGCTGAAACGCTGAGTTCATGGCATACTATTTAAATTAGCAACTGCCAAGAAAATAATAACATTCATGTCAGCCTCCGACTTGTAATTCAGAGTCTGGCACTGAAAAGAACTAGAAACATACTGTGTCAGAATGGCTGCAAGTGCCCCACTGGCAGCACTTCATCAAACTAAGATCAGTACTCGTGCAATATTCAGCTAATTGGGCTGTTTACCTGGTGTGTTTACAAGGTTAGCACTACCTTAGGTATTGTTCTTGTTCATCCCATTGTGTGAATGCATCATAATCTTCCCTATAACAGCATCCTGTGAGGCTCAAGGGGAATGTGGTGTATAGTTACAATCAAAAACTCAAACTCATTTCATAGAATGTAAGTTCAGACAATACAATTGTTGGTCATAACACAGAAATACAGCTTTTTTAATTTATTTTGTCCGCTTCTGTGTTGGAGTCAACATTTAAACTTCCAAATGCCAAACGACAGCAGGGAAGAGACTCTTCTGGAACCAGTGATGCCGCCCTTCTCTTCACTGTACTGCAATGCTCTAAACCAGCCCAACCTGAACAATGTGTTGCTCTTTTAATAAGATTTAATGAAGCACACCACCTGCTAGCTTGCCCTTCCATTCCTTTCTCTTCTGTCTCTCTCTCGCTCTGAGAATTCAGGGGGAATCTGTAGAGACGGTAATTATTTCTGTCTTTCAGGCCTATGTGGCCGCCTGAAAGTCCCCGCTCTCTGGTTCTCTATCATGTCAGTGAGTGAGAGTGAAATGAACGAATGAACGCTGCTGGAAGGTCTGGACCCACTGAAGACTGATGTGGCACCCGGCTGTCAGACACTTGTCACTCTGCTGTCAATTCAACCAATCAAACAGATACACCATCTCCATCATCCAGCGCAGCACCCACAGCCGTCTGTATTGTGTGAAGCACTGGGGTCCTGGTGATGGTGGCTGCTTGTGCAGAGAGGCCCTGACAAGTCATTTCTGTGATTCTGCTGAAGATTTCAGTCAGACACAACAGCCCTGCAGTGGAGTTGGTCTTTGATCACTTTGTTGGTTTGCTCATGACAGAGCCAAGAGAAGGTTTTCAGTTCAAACCCATCGCAGCAGTACTCAGAAATGAGCTGCAGATGTTTGCGTTCCATGAACTACAGTCCTATCAAGAAGATCTCTGAACAGAAAAGCAATAGTTAAGACAGATACCAAAGCACTGTATCTATTGAGTACTTACACTGGCAATGGATGTGCATTTTTCAAACAGAAACACTCCTCCTGATTACATTACTTGTCAACACTCACTGTGCTGACTGACTTACTTATTTTAGCTCTACAGAAGTAAAGAGACATTGTCTGCTGAAATGGTAGTGTATTCAAAACACTTTGTTGTTGTAATCAGGTTACAATTGCCGCTAAACAGTGATGTAAGTGAACAAACATCAAGTGCTACTCCTTTCTTTCTGGTTCTTTATGCTGTATAGTGGCTAAACCTTGAACTTCACCACACCATTAGCATCTCTGGCTAATTTCAGGCTTCATGACTGGATATTTCCTCCCTCTGGGCTCTGTTAACCTAACTACTGTGCTGAAACAAAAGCACCAATTAGATGTATTTCCAGAGAAAGTGCAGCTGGCAGGGGGGCATAAATAATAAAATCTCACATTTTACTTCCACTTCAGAGTTTACAGCAGCTAACTCTGTTCCCCTGACATGTATAACAACATAGAAACTTGTGTCAAATAGTCATTTGATAAAATTTGCTCTAATGTTTCTAGACAAATGTTGGATGGCAAATGCTTTAGGGTCACATGATGCAGGAGATTTAGAAATATGAAGAAAAAAAAAAGACAAAACCTGAAGCATTATCCTGAAGTAACCTTGTGAGAAAACACATTTAAAACTGTTTAGAACAAGAAAGCGAAGGGAAGGTCAGGAAAAGGGTCTAGTCAGGTAGAAGGAAAGCGCTCAAGGCTGGTTTGTGATGAATCGGGTCAGCAGGTCCCAGGTTGTTTAGCAGAACATATTTATAGTGTTGGTGGTGTTTATTTTCAGTATTTTCTTTGTTGATGAGTCAGAGGAGAGCTGGAATAAACCCAGCAATGTGTGCTGTAGCCACAGGTCCATATGGCTCATCATGTTTCTATAGTGTCTGTTCTTTAACACTTTACTATGCTAAAAATATTCAGCTTAATGTATACAAACTCCATAACTCTAGTCCATGAGAAAAGGTAGGTGGACACCTCAAACGGAGCTCATCAAGCTAAGCTCTAACGTGTCAAACCCTATTAAACCTGGCAGAAGTCTAAGCTGGATTTTGTAACACATTAACATGCTAATGTTGACTGTGTTGGCATGTGTTATTCCAGCCTAGCTTTCATTTTCTGCCTCAAATTCAGGGGGCTAAACAAGGAAGCCTGGACACCGTTCTCCTCATCTACATCCTCCAGCTTCTCCCTGGCATTCCCCAAGATGTTTCCAGGCCAGATGGGATATGTAATCCATTTAGCATGTTTCAGTTCAGCCCAGGGGTCTCCTCCCATTGGATGTGCACTCAAAACCTCCAGACGGAGACACCCAGGAGGAATCCTGATTATATACCTGACCCACCGCAACTGAGTCCTCTAAACAGGGAGCAACCCCTAAGGCTGAGCACACTTTCTCTGTGAATAAATACATGTTTTGGCTGACTGGATCTGCTATCTAATTCTCTTGGTTTCAGCCCAAAGCTCATGACACTAGGTGAGTGGTAAAACTTAATCAACTAGTAACTAGAACACAATACCTTAGCTCAGCTCCCTCTTCACTACAGAAAGTACAGTCCAGTACAACCCTGAATTACCACTGAGACACCAGGACAATCATTAGCATTCATTTGAAATTCAGTCAGTTTTCTGTATAACGTTATATTCAACTTAAGTGTTGGGCAAGTGGGACTGTTGGTGGTGCCAGATGAAAAGTCAAAGGATCACAAAAAAATCAGTAGGATTTATCTTCTGAGGAACATGAATGAAACGATTCACTGTCAACTCGTGATAATTTTATTTCCTTCAGGACCATCTTCCCTCCATGCAAGAAACAAATTTAATGAGCAGTTTGTGTTGAAATTTGCTGAGAACGTTCATGCTTTTAACTGGAAACCACTGCTGATTTCTGACAATCAGTCTTCTACAGCCATGTAGTTCAGGCTCAGAATGTCAACAACACAGACTGAGGCAGACTGCCATGAAATTGGCTCCCTAATTACATTCATGCTCCCAAGGAGATGAACCCACCATATTTAAATGTCCAAGCAGCCTTTCCTTTGTCATCACAGCTCAGTAAAAATCATCACGTCAGTCATTCCATCCAACTGTTGAATACTGAGGAGTATGCTAGGACAACACTGAGACTTTACTTTTGCTGTACTGTAACCACTATGGTAAAACTAGATGTTCTGCTTCCTCTATTCTTCCCCCCACGCCCTTTAAAAATAAGCCCAGTCAGAACACATCAGTTCTTCACACCTTGTACACAGAGGTGGACATCAATGACACTGATAATTGCTGTCAAGAACATGGTTTATCAGTACATAGGTTCTGTATGGTGTGTAATCAGCTCCTGTCTGTGTACAGCTACATCTCTCCTGTGAATACACTGGGCAGGTTGATAATTGGAACAATTGTTCCAAACAGTGCTTGTTGTAATGAGTTGGGACAGATCCAACATGGGAAAATAAAGGTGTAAACAATGCTCTAAGAGGGTGGTTGGTAAGGTAAGGAAAGTTTACGCCTAGTCTAAGGTCTTTCAGGTCTATACTGATCAGTGAAATGACACAATTTGAACATTGTGCAAAGCATTATTTACATAACGAAGCCGTTTCAGTGCACAGGCTTACTAACGAACTATTCACACTGTGTGGTTGCCGCTGACAGATTTCCCAGGTCAGTCCTGCCCTCCATCTGGCAAGCCTCTCACCATAAAGGACAGACTCTGCAGGTTTTCAGTCCTGCCAAAGATGCACCAGGTGATTCATTTTCTCTCTTTGGCTGATGGTGTGCCAATCTGTGAAATAACCTGCCACAGTCTGGCTGGAATGAAGACCTGCAGACTCTTAGCCATCTGAGGCACGTTTCCCCTAGTCAAATGAAACTGCTCATACTAACCCAGAAGATTTATTTTTAGGAGAAAAATGGCAGTGCTGCCTGAGGTTAGTGGGCACTTTACTGGAAATTTGAAAAGGAAGTGTTTCTTGTCTGGTCACGGTTGCACAGTCCATAAAAATGACTGATGTGGCAGATTGAATGGGACGAAAATCCCCAACATGGTCCAGCTGGAACTGCACTGATAAGGGATAAAGACAGCTACCCATTCATTGTCAGTGGAAACTGAGTGCTGTCACTCAGTACACCCCGCTGTAAAAAGACAGACTGAAGGAGGCCAGTGAGACGACAGGCCAGAGCTGGGGAAAGATGTGCTCTGTGCAGCAACAGCCTGGCAGGAGACTGATGGCAGAGATTTTGAGTCGTGCTCAATGCTTATCATTTTCATCATATTATGACACTTTATTAAGTTGTGACACTTTTTTCAGGCAACTAAGTGACCAATTAGACTGAGAATATGTGCTCATAATGATACACTTATATTGCCAATATATAGCAAATGCTGCTGAAAATTACCTTCCTGGGCTACCTTTGCAATAACAAGCCATCCAGAGTGGTGATAAAATTATGATTGTAGTAACTGTGCTGTGATATATTGCACTTGGAGGAACCATTAAGTATGATGATGTCAGATCCTTCTTGGTCCAACGTAAGATAGTATAATCAGTGTCTAAGTTCTGTGCATTGCTTCCTGATAGATATGAAACTAAACCTGGGAACAAATATGTCTGTGCAGATTCTGGGAACAAATAGTTTATCTTGACACAACACTGCTTGCTCTCCCTCCACAGAAAAACACACAGACACACTCAGGACTCACTTCGGATGGCGGATATCAGGGAGGGAGCGGTTGAGGGAGATTCGATCACTGACGTAAATGTTGAAGCCGTTCTCCCTGTAGGCCTGGTCGACCCGGTCAGCATCTGTCAGGGGGAACGCCTTCCCCTGTTCGCCATTACCTACATCAAACACACAGGTTTTACTACCAAGACCTCAGTGTATCAGTTCCAGCAAGTGTAGACACAGCAATAATATTTTACAGCAGTTGTGAATAGTCAACACACTTTTAGAAACATTTGGTGAGTCAGTGAAGTTTCCACACTTTCTTTTGAGTAAGATAATGAAAAAGCTCAGTGTAAAAACTTTTAAAAGCTGTGCTCTTCAAGGCCTGGAGTGTCCTCAGACCAAAACTGGGTGAGGAGGTTTTAGCTGTGAGACAGAACTGTAACACAGGTCATGTACATTGAAGCTTTCTCACTGCTGTTTTACAGGGGACAGACAAGTTTCACAAACAAATAGGAATAGAAAACAGGGGCAAGTTCATCAGTGATAAAAAGAAAATAAGGGCAAAAGGTGAACATTTACATGAATTCCTCACCACAAGAGCCGCTATGCATTTGAAAATATAAATTCTAATATTAAAAACCATTTAAATCCAAAAATAAAAATATACCAGACATAATAAAAAGCGTGTGAAGACTATTTGACTACCCGTAGAATACAGTGACAGTCATACTTAGTGCATCTTCATGTTCATGTTTAAATCTACCTGGGTTTAAACTTTAGATGACAAACATCTCAAATTGACCTTTTATAGCAGAAATAGCAGAAACCCAAAAGCTAAAAATAGGATAGTATAAGATATAAGAGGAAAAAAATGGATCACGAACACAACGCAATGGCCAGTTGTGCGTTGATGCTTAATTTAAATAAAACTTGTTTACAATGTGGGTCTGTATAAAACAAAGCTTGGACATTCAGAGTAAGAAACCTGCTGATATAAACATGATGAACTGTGTGTATAAATATGAACTCTAATAGCTGAACTACTGAACAGTTTCATAGTTTTATAGCTTCATATTATTCAGATTTATTAAACAAGAGAATTAGGGACCTGTGGAAACCAACAGAACAAAACCAGCCCTCATCATTTACAGACATACATGTTTCATTAAGCTGAAATTATCTACTGTCCATTCCAAAGGCAACAGGTGTGAATAACAGCCTTTAGACTGCAGTGGCTCATTTCAGTGATAAATCCATTATAGCTAATTTACACTGTTTGTGTAGAAGCTGATTTCCCTGAACAGAAAATGAACCTGAGCTGGTGATTACTGTAGCAGATATACATAAACTATTTATGACAGCATGCTGCTGCAGAGCTGGGGAGCAATAACACCCAGAGCAGGAATAGGTTTGTGTGTGTGTGAGAAGAGCAGTTCATCTGAATGTATGTGTAGAATTGTATGAATCTTTCTACAGTATATGGTACTTTTGATTTGTGCCTGCCATGTGAATGCTGCATCCACGGTGGTCGTCATCTATATTTGACAGCAAATTTATGACAAGGGATGATGAGGGGATTTGGACCTACCAGATCGAGAGGAGTCTCTTTTGATTGCGTCGTAGTCGTGCCAGTCCTTCCTCCGTACACCATCACTTCCCACATGAGCGTCCTTTCCCACCCTGTTAACCCCCTGTAGACACATAAAATAGCATCATACACACAGATATGACATGTATTCTGCACAGAAGACCGGTTTAAAGCTGAGCAAACAGTGTACGGATTAGGCTCGATTTCAGACCTGATTCAGTCACACCCGACTACTTTTAGAATCAGTTGTCATCTGAAGTACAGCGTGTGTCCATTTTATGACCCGGACAACCAACGATCAACAGATTTCTAGCATGTCAGAAATCTGGCCAGCTGTGTTGCAGATCCATGGTCTGAAGTTAGTTCAGTGCACTTGCATGAGCACAAAGACAACAACCCAACAACATGGCACAGACCAGATATCCCACTTTGTGGACAGAATCAACTGAAATGAGGCCATAGGCTGCATATAAAGAAAAGTAAAAGTAACTGGCACTGTTTGCAATTTCATAGTTTTCTTTATAAACTGGTCATGAAACGTGATCTGACCTTCACCAAAGTCACAGATAAACAATATCTCTAAGCTGATAAAACAGACAGCCATGATCTTTCATGCCTTTATTGAACATACCCATTAAACAAAGTGAGAACACCAGGAAACTGCGAGCTCTGGCAGCAGCACACTGTACAATGTTTCATCAAAACTCTGTCATGATCATGAACCAGACCAGTGGTTTTTTTACAGTCAAATTGCATATTACAGTACATACAGTGAGGAACAGAAGTATTTGAACACCTGAGAAAATCAGTGTTAATATTTGGTACTGAAACCTTTGTTTGCAATTACAGAGGTCAGACGTTTCCTGTAGTTCTTGACCAGGTTTGCACACACTGCAACAGGGATTTTGGCCCACTCCTCCACACAGATCTCCTCTAGATCTGTCAGGTTTCGGGGCTGTCGCTGAGCAACGCGGAGTTTAAGCTCCCTCCAAAGATGTTCTATTGGATTGAGGTCTGGAGACTGGCTAGGCCACTCCAGAACCTTGATATGCTTCTTACGGAGCCACTCCTTGGTTATCCTGGCTGTGTGCGTCGGGTCGTTGTCATGTTGGAAGACCCAGCCACGACCCATCTTCAATGCTCTGACTGAGGGAAGGAGGTTGTTGCTCAAAATCTCACAATAAATGGCCCCATTCATCCTCTCCTTAATACAGTGCAGACGTCCTGTCCCCTTCGCAGAAAAGCACCCCCAAAGCATGATGTTACCACCCCCATGCTTCACAGTAGGGATGGTGTTCTTGGGATGCAACTCATCCTTCTTTTTCCTCCAAACACGACGAGTGAAGTTTAGACCAAAAAGGTCTACTTTGGTTTCATCTGGCCACATGACTTTCTCCCATGCCTCCTCTGGATCATCCAAATGGTCTTTGGCAAACTTCAGACGGGCCTGGACATGTGATGACTTGAGCAGGGGAACCTTCCGTGCAATGCATGATTTGAAACCATGACGGCGTAGTGTTCTACCGACAGTGACCTTTGAAACTGTGGTCCCAGCTCTCTTCATGTCATTGACCAGCTCCTCCCTTGTAGTTCTGGGCTGATTCCTCACCTTTCTTATCATCAGTGATACCCCACGAGGTGAGATCTTGCATGGCGCCCCAGTCTGAGGGAGACTGACAGTCGTCTTTAGCCTCTTCCATTTTCTAACAATTGCTCCAACAGTTGATCTATTTTCACCAAGCTGCTTGGCAATTGCCCCGTAGCCCTTTCCAGCCTTGTGGAGGTCCACAATTTTGTCTCTGGTGTCTTTTGACAGCTCTTTGGTCTTGCCCATGGTAGTAGTTGGCGTCTGACTGACTGTGGGGTGGACAGGTGTCTTTAAAGAGCTCAGACAGGTGCTACTAATTTAGATTAATGAGTGGAGTAGAGGTGGACTTTTTAAAGGCACAGTAACATGTCTTTGGGAGCCAGAATTCTTGCCGTTTCTCAAGTGTTCAAATACTTATGTTCAGCAGTGCAAGACAAATAAATTCTTTAAAAATCATACAATGTGATTTCCTGACTTTTTTTTTATTCTGTCTCTCCAAGTGGGAATGCACCTACAATGTGAATTTCAGACCCCTCCATGATTTCTAAGTGGGAGAACTTGCAAAATCGCAGGGTGTTCAAATACTTCAGTTCCTCACTGTATTTCTACCCATCACTGCCCCAGTGCACCACTTTGATTGATTTTCATGGAGGCTTTGGGTTTTAGAAAGTTTAACTGTCTTCTTTTCATCTGTGGTTCGGGATGAGTGAATGGTAAAGTGGTGCAAGGAGGAACCATTTTTAAAACCATCTTCACTGGAGCATTCAAGGACACATTTCAGCACCAATTACAAAAAAGCATCAAATTCATGTGCTACAAAGGTAAGGCAGGGGAAAAGCCATAAGCACACACGGGCATTTTAAAATGGACCATCTACACTTGGTCATCTGTTGAACTGAGGATGTTCCTGTTTGGCAGATGAGTATAAAATCTCAAATGTCAGACTGTCCGCAAATGCACCACAAGAAAGAGGCTTAAAACAGTGCTCACATGGCTGCAACTGATAAAATTTGATAGACTGCTAATTATGATTGATTACTGGGGGCAAATGTTCATGTGTCTAAAATCATGTTCCCCCCAATAACAGTATTTGCAAAATTCAGCTGAAACCTTCAACTTGCAGGAAATACTGGGAAACAGTCAGCAGCAATGTAAAACATGCAACTGGGGTAAGACATGCAAACCCACAGGTGTGCACTTTTAAACACGGTCACATGTATTATACAGCAGTGCAGCACGCACAAGGTTTTTCCCCATGGTACTCTGTCAGTATCAGTGTCAGCTGAGAGATTTCTCCAGAGCATCAGCCCCTCACTATCCAGCAGCGCTCTGGCAAGTCTATCCACAGAAAGCGTTCTCTTCTATTTCATGCTTGACGACCCTGTGAGGAGAATATCAATGCTGTGACGCACAGCTCCGCGGAGGCCTTAGACACACAACCACACACATCCAGACAGACACGCTGCAGCTCAGCATACAAAGGCAGAAGCTGATTCTTCCATTTAGTCATTCTACACACTGAGTGACTTTCAGTGACACTGCATCGTGAATTACAGGATCACAACACAATGGAGAAATAATTAGCTCAATGGGAAGAGGCAATTAGTAAAACACTTAAAATACAAATGGCACCACTGAGTGCATGAAATACTGTGAATTATTAATCAGACTGTTAGCTTAGAGGAGTATGACGCTGAATAACAAACTAATGTACAGTATATACACAAAGATTTAGTTTGAAGACTCCTGGGATGTGTGCATGTGAGTCTCTGTGCTCTTGTACTTTAACCTTTCTGAGAATAGTCTTTTAGAACCTGACAGTTAAGACATTTTTGGAAAATGAGGGAATTTTTCCACATAATCTTTCTGCAACATCCTCAGTTCATCTCTTTTTTCACAGCCATCTCTCTGTATAAAAATACTTTTAAAAAACTTTGTATGACAGTGTCTGTTCTGATTTTGGAGGCATAAGTAACTCACATAGGAGAGAGACTTGACTCTTAACCAGCAGGTTGGTGCTTGGATCCCTGGCTCCTTTATATGTCAACATGTCCTTGAGCAAGACACTAAAACCCAAACTTCTTCTGATGTAGGGTAAAAATGCAAGTCACTAGGTGGGTGTCTGTAAAATATATGTAATGCAGTGAATGGTTAAAGCCAGTGTTGCTATACCATCTGTTGAGAAACTGACACTGCTGAGTGCATCATCCACTTTAGTTGCTTGTTAAACTTACTATGTGCACACCTCACCTCTAAAGACTGTGGATAGTTCCCATTTACAACACATATGGTAGTATTTGAGAGATACAGTCCTAAAGCTACTGTACGTGATAGTGGCCGACTTTGGTAAAGTTAGAAAGATATTCACAGATTCGAAGTTTCCAGATCAATAAGTCATAACCAAAATGTGTTGCTAAAATACAGACGTTGCCTCTTTTGTTTCCAGACAAATAACACTGGTCTCAATCAGTTCTCCCTGCACCATCTCCTCCGTTCTTTTCTTCCTCCTTCCTCTTCACCTCTCCCCTTCACCCCCTCAACTACTCTTCTTCTCCTCGCTCTGTCACAGGCAGACGCCCTCAGTGTGTCATACAAGGATACGACAAGCAGCAGGAGTCCATTTGTGCAAATTCATGCTAAAAAGAAGCGAGGTTGTGCCGCCCCATTTCCTCCTGATTAAAATTTCAGCGCGAGTCGCCGTGATATTCCTCTGGGGCTTTTCTTGCTGCTCAACAAGACCTTGAAAAACAAGACAAGGAGAGAGGAAAACTGCAGCTAATGTGTGCACGCTTGGTTTTGTGGAAGTAGAATGTGGGCGAGTGCTGAAAAGAAAGGAGGTAATTGAGACTGACAGGAAAAGAGGATGAGAAAGGCAGAATAATCTTGAAGAACAGATGGAATATGTTAACGTGTGTAATCACAAGTAAAAGGACTCCTCAATGAAAAGTTTTAAATTCCACATCACATTCTCTCTTAACGGCCACTTGAATCGCATAATTTTTTTAGTTCTGTGGCTGGAAGGCCGTACTACATGCTTGAAAATATTTTGTAAAAAAAAAAAAAAAACTTTAAACATTCTCACTTGGTTATTTGTTGTTTTTAAAGCTCTTCATGACCTGGCACCACCATATCAGAGCTCTTAGAGCCCCATGTTACCGTACAATCTCTTAGATCCTTGAAAGTTCCTAGGTCGAAGTTAAAATACTGGGATGACAGGGCCAACTGCCTAGGCTCACTGGTTCTCTCAGGCATTTGACACTGGCTTAGACTGAGGTTTTGTCTATTGCCTTCTGCTCTCTACATTACATTTCCTCTGCTCTGTATTTATCATGATTTTTTTCATTTTGTTTATATTTGATGTGCGGCACTTTGCGTCTTACATTTAGAAAGGTGCTGTATAAATGAAGATTGCTTGTTTGATGGTACAGACACTAAATGAAAAAGTCAGAGGATTGCAGCATTTGTTTCACGTCATCCTAAGGGGAACATGAATGTCAGTACCAAATGTCCGCCCA